AGCTACTCCGGCCTTTCTTCCACGAATATTTTATCGTAATTTATTTTTTACTAGTATGCCCTTGTCCCACCCGCAGCATTCTCAACAGAACCTGCCGGTCCAGGATCGATGGAACAACTCTTCAGGTCAGAAAATTTACAACGTTGGTGGAGAATGGATTGTTGTCACTTAGTCCCGATTGAGAATCTGCTGGGCCTAAAGAGAGGGTTATGGGCGTAAGGGGTTATAAAAAAAAACTTTCAAATGTGATAATTTCGCTTTCTCATAATTTACCTAGGCAACACATTTCTCGAATTGAACCAAGAAATTCTTAAATTCAAATTTACCGACTTCACCGCCGCTAAATTTGGCTGGGCCCAGGCGCTTGAAATTGCATTTGGTCTGCCACATTAGAATTTTGTGATGATCCTATAGTGGGAGTGGGAGAAGCAACCTTTTATTCTATTTCCCATTTTTCTATATACGTTAGAGACAAATTCATTTACTGCGTCTGGTAAAAAGGACACTTTTTTCCAAATTAATATCTGAATTTTCACAGATTTCGATTGTTTTTGATTTTATTCAGTCGACCTGAGCTAAACATTTATTTATGAGGTTGTCTTGTTTTACGAAGTAATTTTTTTAAAGACTTCTTCGCTAACATAATATCTATGGCCGAAGTTATTTTCCTTTTAAGGGAGTCACGGTTAAACAACAAAGTCTTTACAACTTTTACAGCTCTAAATTCGGTCATTTTGAGCAAAGAAGATTTTTACACAATTAAATTTCACAAGTGTAAGAAAAAGAAAGAAAAAAAGGAGGTAGGAAACTGCTACAAAGTCCTTAGTAGATACCAAAATAATACACCTTCATCGAACTTCTTCCTCAAGCGAGTCACGTCTAAGCCTTATTAACTCTTCCGTATTTTTCTAAGTATAAACTGCTAGTTCATTTCTTTGCAACGTATCAGTATTTCACCTGTTTAAGTATATTCCAAAAGTTACCGCTGTAGAAAAAAAAAGGATAATTCAATTCGTGACACGGCGTGAGAAAAAAGAACGAAACCAAACCTTTGAGATTCAAAACTTTTATGACAATAACATAAGAATGAGAAGAAAGTAAGAAGGTTTACAATAATAGTGTTGCAAGAAAATAGGTATTTTGTGGACTTATCTTGTCACAAAAAAGAAACGTCTTGTTAACAGTTCTTTGGGTTCTTGTGATTTCTTGTAGTGATGGCGCAGCAATGTCTCGGTGTACGGACTTCCTGAGGATTAAGAAGATATTTCTTCACGTGAAGTAGGCTCTAAAATCCCGGGTCACACAAATCTCATGGTAAGTTTTTTTTTTCTGAGAACAATGTTTTTGTACGAGCTACTCATTGAAAGCCAACGTGGGAAAGAGGAAGAAAGACTCAAACATGCCACGCAGATCGGAAAGAAGCAGTTTCAGTAAGGGGCCTTCTGATTGATTCCTTTTCAGCTAGTCACAGGGATCGTTGTAACAATGACAAGAGGCCTGCTCAAAGGGGGGTTACTCTGAAAGACTCATAATAATTTCAATAGATGACCTAGTAACAGATTCAGGCAAGAGCTAAAATAAATTCCTACACGTGTGCAGAATCACGGGATCAAGTACGAAGCATTGAGCGGGTATAGTGGGTCAGCCAATTTGTACTGGTTATAAATAGAATTAAAAACTGACCCTCTACAATTTTTACAATATCAAATGTAACAAAGACAACAACAAGAGAAATAATCAAGTAGAAGAAAATGTGAATTTTGTTCAACAATAAATATTTTTTTTTAAACACAACAAATACATAATATATAGTGCAAAAGTTGATAAACACAATAGAGTTCTTTGGTGTGTGTGTTACTGAAAGAATTTGAGCTACTGTACTGTATGTGTGAAAATGACAAGGTTTAGCTATATTTGTTTTTATAGGAAAATTGAACAGATGTTTTTTTGTGCATTAAATAGAAAAAAGTATTGTTCTTGACTCACTGATTGTTATCGCTCATTAACCAGAGATTCTTGTGGAATGGAATATTTTGTGGGAGTGAGCGTTAAGCCTGGAGATGGTTGACAAAGTTTGTTGTTGTATTGAAGATAAAGTTCGTCTCCTTTGCTGTGTTGATTTCCAATGAAGTCAAGTGAATTGGTTTCAATATTTTAAGTGCCCACTGACCAAGTCGCGTCGAAGTTTCGTTTTTATTAGTTCTCTTGGTCACGTGGGGAGGCTCGTAAACATGTTTACATTTTATGGCGTCAACTAGAGGTCAAAATTTGGGTCGGTACCTTCGGACGTAGTTGACGACACCTAATTAATATTTTACAATCAATCAAAATACATCAGTTGTTATATTTGGCTGGGAGCCTCTATGTGTTTAACTTGCACATAACTTAAGATTTAAAAAAAATGTAGGAATCTGATTCTACAATAACCCCCCCCCCCCGCAGATTGTGAAAGTTTTTGAGAGAAAATTTTCTCAATATGTAATATACGTTTTAAATCTACTAGGCCAATGAACATGACTGCCAGACTTAGTAATAACTTCCGCGAGTGGTACTGAAGGTGCAAGCTTCGCTGGCTGGGTCGAAGATGTTAGCTCAGGGTCAGGATGCGATTTATGAGATAAATCGATGTAAGCCGGTTTCAACCGGTCGACTGACACTGTGTTAGGCTTTCCGTGCAAAAGTAAAGTAAAATGCTTGGACGTTCTATTAATTACTTTATGTGGACCAGAATACGTGGGGGTTAAGGGTCTTCTAACTGCATCTTTTCGCAGGAAGACGTAATCACAACTGTCTAAATTTTTCGGCATAAAGAACTCCCTTGTTTGGGCACGCGTTGGAGTAAAAGCTAGGTTTTCCATTTTTTGTTTAAAATCCTGGACGAAATAGGTAGTCGGTCTGGAAGGAGTATGCTTTTCCACGAACTGTCCAGGGAGTGTTAGCGTACTCCCAAAACAAGTTCTGCTGTAGTGCATCCCAAGTCCTCTTTGACTACATTTCTTAATGACAGTAAAATCAGTGGTAGGTTTTCCAGCCAAGTCCTGGAGTCATCACTTGCTGCTAGTGCTGCCTTAAGTTGCCTATGAAATCGTTCCACAAGGCCGTTTGCACATGGATGGTAGGCGGTTGTAGAAATGTGCTTTACGCCTAATAAGGTTATAAATTCATTGAAAAGGACTGACTGGAACTGGGAACCCCTATCAGTGGTTATTATTGAAAGACAACCAAAGATAGAGATCCACTCTCTAAGAATGCACCTGGAAATCGTTTCCGCTGAAATACTTTTTAAAGGAACGGCTACAGGCCAACGAGTGAAACGATCGATTATTGTTAATAAGTATTGGTACCCATCAATGTCGTGAATGTGGGTGAACCTACCATCAGGCTTAGAGAATGTACCAGGCGGAGACTTGGCATGCCGTTGTATTTTAGTTTGCTGGCATTTTAAACAAGTCTGTGTCCAATGTTTTATGTCACTGGACATTTTTGGCCAAACGAAACGATCACTAATCATCTTAGTAGTGGCTCTTCGACCAGGGTGCGACAGAGAATGGAAATGTTCGAATACTTTTTTTCGCAAAGAAGGTGGTACATAGGGCCTAGAGTATCCTGTGCTTACATCACAATAGACAGTAGTGTTACCAAATGGCACAGGGTGTTGCTTTAACTGTAGTGACGTTTTTTCTTTTACTGATTCCAAAGTAGTGTCAGTCTTTTGTTCTTCCGCTAAGGAGTCGAAATTCAAGGTCTGTGCGTCAATTGACTGTATCGTTGATTGCGATAGGGTATCAGCTACTATATTGTCAGCTCCTTTTACATAGCGGATATCCGACGTATATTGGGAAATATAATCCAATTGTCGGATATCCCTTGGGGTATATTTGTCCGACTTGGCGTGCAGAGTATAAATTAATGGTTTATGATCTGTATAGACCACAAAATTCCGTCATTCCAAAAGATGACGGAAATGACGGATTGCCAAGTATATTGCCAGTAATTCCCTTGAAAATGCGCTCTACTTTTTCTGAGATGAGTTTAGCTTGACTGAAAAGAGCGAAATAGGTTTTTTAGCATCTCCCTGTTCCTGGTGAAGCACAGCCCCTATGGAGTCGCCTGATGCGTCTGTTGTCAGTGTGATCATTGAGTCATCATCGGTTATATATGATAACTTCGTAAATTTGGCAAGGGCGTCTTTGGCTCTGTGAAAAGCAGTCAGTGATTCGCCTTCCAAGGTAATCTTTGAGTTCTTCTGACGCTGTTGTTGCAGTAAATCTGTGAGGGGAATCAGAATCTGGGAACAACCAGGAATGAACCTCCGGTAGTAATTAATGAGGCCTAAGAATCGGCGTAACTGCCGGAGTGAAGTTGGTTGTGAGAAATTTGAAATAGATTCTATTTTCTCAGGTAAGGGCGTTATTCCCTTTTCGTCAATGACGTGTCCCAAAAATTTAAGCGAGGGCACAGCAAAAATACATTTCTCTGCGTTAATCTTAAGGCCAAAATGCTGAAGACGCTGGAAAACTTGTTCAACGTGGTGACGATGTTCAGTCTTGTTTCTACTGGCGATCAGGACGTCATCAATATAGGCAAAGGTGAAAGGTAAACCTCTCAGCACTTCGTCTATAAGCCGTTGGAAAGATTGTGCAGCGTTCCTTAAACCAAATGGCATTCTCACAAATTCGTATAAGCCAAAAGGAGTAGTTATTGCTGTTTTATGGATGTCTTCCTTGGCCACTGGTATCTGGTGGAATGCTTTCACCAGATCAAGTTTGGTGAAGACTGTGGCGCCCTGCAGACCCACTGCGAAATCGTGCAAGTGCGGGATGGGGTATTTATCCGGAATTGTAGTAGCATTCAGCTTCCGGAAGTCGCCACAAGGTCTCCAAGCTCCTGAGTCCGGTTTTGAAACCATATGAAGAGGAGATGAGTAAGGACTCGAAGAAGGTCTAATTATACCGAGGTCCAGCATGTGCTGAAACTCGTCTTTCGCCAGTTTATATTTATCAGGCCTCAATCGCCGTGGAGATGAATGTGGGTGGGCCCGTAGTATTAATGTGGTGCTCAGCATTGTGACGAACGGTTTCTGTATACCGGAATGGTGTTGTAATTTGAGAATATTTTTGTAACAGATCCTGCATTCCGTTGGCTTCAGGTACAGTTGCGCTGATACATGTGCTCGTATAAATAGATGTAATTCCTTTCCTTGTAATGTTGGTCGTTTTATCCTCCAAAGAAAGGGAAGACATATTAACGGACAAGTTAAAGTGGGCGAGGAAATCCGCTCCTAGGATTGGGGTTCGAACTTGGGCTATCGTGAATACCCACGGAAAAGATCGCCTAAATCCCAGATTTAGGGTTAAAGAGGTTTCACCATATGTCTGGATTGAAGATCTATTCGCCGCTTGTAACGTATAATCTGTCTTTCTAGTCAACATATTAGGCTTGGCTGGTATTACACTAATTTGTGCCCCAGTGTCCACTAAAAACAAGTATCCGGAGTTCTCATCTCGGATGTAAAAAGAGACGACTTTTGGAATCCCTCCGGCAGCAAACGTCTCTACTTGTTGCCGGGATAGTCGTTTCCCGACTGCTGTGTGTTGTTATCCTTAGCTGCGTTTATGTCGAAGTTACACGGTTTCGTACAATGTCGCGCTTTGTTGTCCATATTTAAAATGATACCAACAGGTATTAAATATAGGCCTGCTTCTGGATGTGGAACGTGATCTTCGCCTAGTATGATGTGATGGACGTGGTCGACTAGTGAAATTGTTGGGTGTGCGATTTTGCTGATGCATAGCGGTTTGTAGAGCTTGTAACTGTGAGGTAAGCTCTGCTATACAATCTTTAATTTTCGATAACTCTTGTGAGTCACGGACTGAAGAGACAATAGGTTGTAGTGGTGTCGCAGAAACAGTTCCCGGAGGTTTATTCTCATATATTTTGTCCGCGATTTCTGCCAATCGCTGTAGGTCCAAATCGTCCGGGAGTGACACTAATATTTGTGATGTTTGTGGGCTCAGTTTATCCATCCATAGTTTACGGAGGACTGTGTCAGACATGGTATTGTCACCCAGTAAAGCTTTCATCTTTCTAAGCAATTGGGAATGTTTATAGTGTCCCAAATGAAGGTTGTTAAACAAATCGTGCAACCGACGTTCCTCTGATTCGCCCGTGCGGTATAGTATAGCATCTTTCAAAGTATCATACGGTTTCTCCGCCGGCACTTCACAGAGGAGGTCTGCTACCTCTAATGCTACATCTGAGGGAAGTTTCTCAACTACAAAAGCGTAACGGGCATGTTGAGACGTGACCTTTCTTGCATTAAAAATTGCGTTTAACTGCGCAAACCACACTTGAACGTTGGTGTGGTTGTACGTCGGTAGACTGATGGAAATTGCCGCTTCAATATGTTCGCTGGTAGAATTTTCCATTGTTTTCGTTTAAAACGTGACAACTAAAGTATTTCTCTTATAAAATGCTGTTTTTAAAATATTGCTGTGCACATTTGAACTTCGGGGTCACCAATTTATAGTGGATCAGCCAATTTGTATTGGTTATAAATAGAATTAAAAACTGACCCTCTACAATTTTTACAATATCAAATGTAACAAAGACAACAACAAGAGAAATAATCAAGTAGAAGAAAATGTAAATATATTTTTAAAACACAACAAATACATAATATATAATGCAAAAGTTGATAAACACAATAGAGTTCTTTGGTGTGTGTGTTACTGAAAGAATTTGAGCTACTGTACTGTATGTGTGAAAATGACAAGGTTTAGCTATATTTGTTTTTATAGGAAAATTAAACAGATGTTTTTTTGTGTATTAAATAGAAAAAAGTATTGTTCTTGACTCACTGATTGTTATCGCTCATTAACCAGAGATTCTTGTGGAATGGAATATTTTGTGGGAGTGAGCGTTAAGCCTGGAGATGGTTGACAAAGTTTGTTGTTGTAATGAAGATAAAGCTCGTCTCCTTTGCTGTGTTGATTTCCAATGAAGTCAAGTGAATTGGTTTCAATATTTTAAGTGCCCACTGACCAAGTCGCGTCGAAGTTTCGTTTTTATTAGTTCTCTTGGTCACGTGGGGAGGCTCGTAAACATGTTTACATTTTATGGCGTCAACTAGAGGTCAAAATTTGGGTCGGTACCTTCGGACGTATTTGACGACACCTAATTAATATTTTACAACCAATCAAAATACATCAGTTGTTATATTTGGCTGGGAGCCTCTATGTGTTTAACTTGCACATAATTTAAGATTTAAAAAAAATGTAGGAATCTGATTCTACACGGGAAAATATAGGCAGGAATCAATTGAAATCTGAGTCTAGTGCGAGTAATATCTCTTTTTTATTTGTTACCGTCAAGCAAAGAAAATCGCACAATGTAGACAAGTTCCAATTCAACTCAACATACCATGCTACATATATCAAATACAAGGGGGATTTACTAAATGTGATAATCACCTAAATCAGGCATGTGTGACCCACTCAATTGGACGCAGGCTAATACAGCACCTGAATCTTCTACTCGAACGACGAATTCTACATTGCTGAATATGTGAATGGAGAGAACGACCATCACTTGGTGTCAATACTGATAACATTGAAGAAAGAACAATATATCAAATGATATCGCTACTCTAGTGAAAAGAACTAAACTAAAAGTAAAAAAAGAACAAAAGAGAAATATAAAAGGAGAAAAAGAAAGGTAAAAGGGAAAATAGAAAACCCTATTTTACTTCAGGCGAATAGTTAAAGCTAAGTGCATTTTGACTTTCCAGCTCGGACATATAATGCATACATCTTTCCATACAGAAATGTATAGCACATACCTTTCCACGCATTTCCTTGCATTAATATTTTCATGCATCTTCTTGTTATAATTAAATCTTGTTAATTTGTATATTAGCATTTGTTTTTCGTTACTGTTGGTTGTACCTCCTCATTCGTGTATTTGACCCTATAGAGAATACTTCCGCTACGGAGTGATAAACCTGGTCATATCCTTTGACAACAAATTGCTTTTTATCTTTTCTTTTTAAATTTTATGCTGCGACAATTGCTCCGTAACAGTCCGTAATGTGAGAGAGTTCAAAAGTTAAAGGAGGACCAAAGAAGCGAACACGTCACGAAAGGAAAAACATTAAAACAAGTTATAAGAAGAATGTCCCTATGTGTGTATATGTGTGTGTATGTGTGTAACAAGCATGTGTTATAGACATGTGTGTATATGCGTGTGTGAGAGAGTTCAAAAGTCAAAGGAGGACCAAAAAAGCGAACGCGTTTCGTCGGCACCGTTCTTATGTACGTGCAACTACATCTGAAAGCCAGAGCTAAAAATCAACTATAGGCTTAAAGAGCGCCCTGTAGCAGGTGCTTTTGACGCAGTCAAGTGGGGTAACACACAGGGTGCATAATTTCATTAGCTTAGGGGCTCCTAAATGTAAAAATCCGACCCTATTGAAGACGTTTTTTCTTACATATTGATATGTGTTCCTGTTAATTTTCTGTATTAATAAAAACAATTTTAGTTATTATTAACTATAAAAATGTTTATTAGTAATGTTTTTAATTTCTCTACCACATTTTTGCTATTCAAAAACCGAACACTTTAGCTCAAAGAGAAAATCTTCTTAACATACAAGAGGAGTTCAAAGTAACTGGTAACTGAACAAAACCATTGTGGTTTATGAATTCAGCATAGCCATATTATTTAGATAGCATGACAGCAAAAACAATTCAAAATACAGGCCAGTGTTTTAGGTTTACATTTAAGAAAATATAGTAAATGAACAAATAAATATATTTATCAATGTTGACTGAATCTCACTGAATAAAGACTTTTCAGTGACAATGCATACTTTGAATTACATTAATAATAATCGGCCAGAAGATATAAAGAAAAATGTAAATCTATATTTTATTACGAAATCATGGCCTCAATTAATCATCTGCTTTATGTAATAGTGTTAGTAACCTAAAAAAAACCTGTAACCTAGAAAACCTTTCAAGTATGTCAAATCTGAATCTCTGAATACTGTAGCCACTCATTCGGATTAAGGAATTCGAAGTATTTGCTGTTCTGTAATGATTTAGCATTTTTATTACTTTAATGTTAGAAATGTGAGAACTGAAATTGATACCTCTTCTTAAAATTTGAATTCTCAAATTGTAATAATATATTTTTATGCATTTTAACCATTTCAATGGTGAGGACTTTATTAGTTAAAAATAATTTAATTGTTTGGTTTTGTTTATTTTACAGCATATCAACTTCAATGGGTTATTTAATGCCGACAATAATTTTAGGATATTTTCGTATGAATAGAATATGTATTCTCTGTAAGAAAGTTTGTAGATGAGGATATGTCATTAGAATCAACATCACTAAAGCGAACAGATACCTTCATACTCTGGCCCCACCAAAAACATGTCCAATTAATACTGGACCACGTCTACTCAATAAGACCATCAATACAGTTCACAGTGGAAAAAGAAAACAATAATAAACTATCTGTCTATATTTCTGAGATGAGGTATTGTAATTATTTACACTATTTACATTGTTCGGACCGTTGTCCTCATCTTTATTGCCATATTCGCGACGTTTCAATCGACACTCTGGCCTTCTTCAAGTGATTGGAATTTAGAATCACTTAGCCATGTGTCGTTGAGAACATCAGTGTTTTATCCACTGAGACATGTGTCCTTGGAGACATCAGTGTATGAATTTGGGGGATTTACAAACCTAATGTCTCAGTAATCATCTCGATATACCAAAAATATGGAGACAATCAGAAAAGTCCTACCAGGAGCTGGCACGAATGTCAAACTATCTAACATTCCTACACCGATGCGGACACTTACGACTCATCCCCTCAGGTTTGGCACCAAGACTTCAGGTCACTTCAAAGAGAGCCCGTCTGGTCACAAAAAGCGAGACACGCCTTTGTCTAAGAAAGAATACTGTACAACTATTGGATAAAACATAAACTGCAATCTGATATCTCCCAGAGGATCTAGGCATTCTTCAATAGAATTACCAACGAAGAAGATCGAAAGAGGATCCAGCATGATCTGGATAAATCCTTAAAACACGAATTCGATGCAGTCAAGGCCCGCCAAGTAGAGAATTTGAACAGATTGAAAGATCAGAAGGTGACACACAATGTCTATCACAATCCTCACCCCACCGCGGGGAAGGCAGTAATGAACATTAGTCAAAACCAGCTGAGTGCGTCTTTGAAGTCAGTACTGAACAAAGGTCTCAACTTCGCAACAACCATTAGGTAGATAC